ATTAGCTCGCGCGGGCGCACCACCTGCTGGGACAAGTCAGCTCACTCTGTCTGCCAGCGTACAACCAGATTGGTCATTCGACGACGAACCACCACCAACGAAGTCTACTTCGCGACCATTCTCTGGGTCTGCGTCTTTTCCTGGTACTTCTCAAAAACCCCAGAGACAGCCTGCGAAGAAGTTCAGGAGGCAGTGGAAATGGCCATGGGAGAAGGAGGTCGTTTTGGCGGGCAACCGGATTATTGCGCTGAACAATCCAGCTGCAAACGCAGAGTTTGCCTCGAACTATGTGTCCACGACCAAGTACAACGTTGTGACTTTCGTGCCTAAATTCTTCTATGGTCAGTCGCTGTGTCCGGCTCGGTTCAAGCTCACGTCGGCCCACACTAATCTTGTCTTGTAGAGCAATTCAGCAGATATGCGAACTTGTTCTTCCTCTTTACTGCGTTCATCCAACAAATCCCGGGAGTGTCGCCCACGAACCAGTACACGACTATTGCCCCGCTTGGGGCAGTGCTACTCGCGTCTGCATTCAAGGAGATGCAGGAGGACTTGGTGAGTCCTCTGATCTCTATCTGACTCTCGTGTTTCCGTTATTATTACCGTGCCCTCCTGCCTTCACATTAATAATGAAGTATTGACACAGAAACGACATCAATCGGATTCGGAACTCAATGCACGACTGGCCAAAGTCTTAGCTCCTGAGGGAAGCTTCGTCGAGAAGAAGTGGAAGGACATTCAAGTAGGAGAGGTCGTGCGGATAGAGAGTGACGAGTTCATCCCTGCCGACCTTATTCTCCTCAGCTCGAGCGAGCCGGAAGGTTTCTGCTACATTGAGACCTCCAACCTGGACGGGGAGACGAACTTGAAAATCAAGCAAGCCTCGCCGCAGACAGCGTATCTTACCGCGCCGCACCTTGTCACCGCGCTACATGGCACCCTACGTTCGGAGCACCCGAACAACTCGCTATACACGTACGAAGGGACTCTCGAGCTCATGACAAGCGAGGGCACGCCGAAGCAGGTCCCAATGGGTCCGGACCAGATGCTGCTACGAGGCGCGCAGATTCGTAACACACCGTGGGCGTACGGGCTTGTTGTTTTCACAGGACATGAAACAAAGCTGATGCGCAATGCAACGTGAGAGGCAGTTGATTATATTTGTGGATTGCGCTGACGTCCGGACCAGCGCGGCGCCCATTAAGCGCACCGCTGTAGAGCGCCAGGTGAACGTGCAGATTGTGTTCTTGTTTGTGGTCCTACTGGCTCTTTCAATTGGATCGACAATAGGAGCGAGCATTCGGACGGTAAGTGTAATCGATTTCTCTAGTATGTGTTCAATGTTGACGAGACACATTTTGGGTAGTGGTTTTTTGCTAATCAGCAATGGTATCTAGCCGAGACGACTACTATCAGCGGCCGAGGTATGCCGTTCCTCGCACATGACAATTTGTTCTTAGCTGAATACCAATAATGCAGCGAAGGAGTTCATCGAAGGTCCGTCATATGTCTAGATACTGAGATGCACATTCAAATCGCAGGCTCATACAGACATCCTGACCTTCATCATCTTATACAACAACCTCATACCCATCTCGCTCATAGTCACAATGGAAGTCGTCAAATTTCAGCAGGCACAGCTGATTAACTCGGACCTAGACATGTACTACGCCAAGACAGACACGCCGGCACTATGTCGAACTTCATCTCTCGTCGAAGAACTCGGCCAGATCGAGTATGTCTTTAGCGACAAGACGGGCACACTCACATGCAACGAGATGGAGTTCCGGTTTTGTAGCATTGGCGGAGTCGCGTACGCGGACGTCGTCGACGAGAGCCGACGCGGCGAGGACGGCAAAGAGGGCTGGCGCACGTTCGCGGAGATGAAGGCGCTCCTCGGCGGCGGGCAGAATCCGTTCATTGACTTTGGCGCGGGTGGCAGCGGAGAGGCAGAGGTTGTGCATGAGTTCTTGACGCTGTTGGCTGTGTGCCATACGGTCATTCCGGAGATCCACGATGGCAAGATGCGTTACCAGGCTAGTAGTCCGGACGAGGCTGCGCTCGTTGCAGGTGCTGAGCAGCTTGGGTATCAGTTTCACGTTAGTACTCTTGGATTTTACTCGGGCGAAGTGCTCATTGTGTTGCTTTGACTGACGCCATGCAGACACGGAAACCTAGGTCCGTCATCATCAACGTGAACGATACTTCCTTGGAATACGAGATCTTGAATATTTGCGAGTTCAATTCGACACGGAAACGGATGTCCACCATCGTGCGCTGCCCGGATGGCAAGATCAAGCTCTTCTGTAAGGGCGCGGACACTGTTATCTTGGAGCGTCTCAGCGAAAACCAGCCGTTCACCGAGAAGACTCTTGTACATCTCGAAGTCAGTATTCTATCGGCAGCCCTTGCTCGTGCTGACCAAATGCACCAGGATTATGCTACTGAAGGTCTCCGGACGCTGTGCATTGCTTCACGTGACATCCCCGAAACCGAATACAGGCAGTGGGTCACGATCTATGACCAGGCAGCATCTACCATCAATGGCCGTGGCGAAGCTCTGGACAACGCGGCGGAACTCATTGAGAAGGATATGCTACTTCTGGGTGCCACGGCGATCGAAGACAAGCTACAGGATGGCGTCCCTGATACCATCCATACGCTGCAAATGGCTGGAATCAAAGTATGAGAAGTCCTTCGTCTTCTGGTTGGTTGGGCTCATTGAGAATTGTTTGCAGGTGTGGGTACTGACGGGTGACCGACAAGAGACCGCTATCAATATCGGCATGTCATGCAAGCTGATATCAGAGTCCATGAATTTGGTATGTGCAGCTCATGGGTCTAACTGTACATGTGTGACGATGATATGACAGGTCATTGTAAACGAGGAAACCTCGCATGGGACCCACGACTTTATCACCAAGCGGCTGACGGCAATCAAGAATCAGCGAAGCACCGGCGAACTCGAAGACCTGGCGTTGATTATCGGTGCGCAAGCACATCTGATTCTTGTGATGTGTAGCTAAAATTTGGCACAGATGGCAAGAGTCTCACTTTTGCACTGGAAAAGGAGATCTCGAAGACCTTCCTTGAGCTCGCTATAATGTGCAAAGCCGTCATATGCTGTCAGTAGAATCTTGCAAGATGTCCTGCTATTGTAAACTCATTTTTCCCTTCCTCAGGCCGTGTGTCGCCGCTGCAAAAGGCTTTGGTGGTCAAACTCGTCAAGAAAAACCAGAAATCAATTTTACTTGCGATCGGTGATGGTGCAAACGATGTCAGCATGATCCAAGCCGCGCATGTCGGAGTTGGTATCTCTGGTGTGGAGGTGAGCTACTTTCTCGTCCCAGCTCTATGCGATGTCAGGTTGAACCCTTTCTAGGGTCTACAAGCGGCACGTTCGGCCGACGTCGCAATCTCGCAATTCCGGTACTTGAAGAAATTGCTGCTCGTGCATGGCTCCTGGAGCTATCAACGGCTGTCGAAGCTGATCCTGTGTTAGTATCTACCGGGGAGCTTTTTCTCGTCCGAATGCTCATATGTGTGCCTAGACTCATTCTATAAGAACATCGTGCTTTACATGACACAGTTCTGGGTGAGCGTCCCATATTACTTCGGCCAAGTATCCGAGCTGACCGATCTGTCTGGGTCTAGTTCTCGTTCTTTAACAACTTTTCGGGTCAAATCGCATATGAATCGTGGACACTTTCAATGTACAACATTGTCTTCACTTTACTTCCACCCCTCGTTATCGGGGTCTTTGACCAGTTTGTCTCCGCACGGATACTGGACCGCTACCCGCAACTATACATGCTCGGGCAACGCAATGCCTTCTTCACAAAAACTGCATTCTGGATGTGGTTCGCTAATGCATTGTACCATAGCATTGTAAGTACTCCCCTTTCGCTGTTCAGCAGACCGCACTAAAGTTCTCCTTAGATATGTTTCGGCTTTTCTGTAATCATTTTCTGGGGTGATCTCAAGCAAGCAACTGGTCTTGATTCGGGACATTGGTTCTGGGGTACTATGCTGTATCTCATTGTCCTTCTAACCGTCCTCGGCAAGGCTGCATTGATCTCAGAGTGCGTTTTTCTATTCCCTAGCATGTTTCTGATCTAACCCAATACTCCGTAGTCTGTGGACAAAGTATACTGTCGCGGGTAAGCTCAAAGTCTTGCAATTTAGGACCGATTCTGACCAAAAGCATACAGCAATTCCTGGATCATTCGTCTTCACAATGCTCTTCCTTCCTTTGTATGCTGTTGTCGCACCTGCCATTGGCTTCTCTACCGAGTACTATGGGCTGGTACCGCGGCTATGGACAGATGCTGTCTTCTACTTTATGCTGATCCTTGTCCCGATCGTCTGTCTTACGCGGGACTTTGTCTGGAAATAGTGTGTCCTGCTCTTCGCATGTTCTGTTATGCATGGCTAACGTTGATACAGCTACCGGCGAACATACCGTCCCGAGACATACCACATTGCCCAGGAGATTCAAAAATACAACATACCGGATTATCGTCCACGACAGGAGCAGTACGTCTGTTACTTCGCCCATTCCCGGTTATATGTACTAATGGGAACTATTGCAGGTTCCAAAAAGCCATCAAGAAGGTCCGCGCGGTGCAGCGGATGCGCCGGAACAGGGGCTTCGCGTTCAGCCAGACGGAGAACGCGGCGCGGCAGGACCAGACACGGTTGATCCGTGCGTACGACACGTCCAAGACAGGGGCGCGGCCATCGGGATATTAGTAGTAACTTGCACACAGTACCTCTTCTTGATATATCATTATGCGGATCGTGCGGACATTGTAGGCTAGACATCGACGTAATTTGAACGAGACGATGCAACTTGAGAACTCGCATGCTTTTGGGTCGAGGTTAGGTGGAGAGTTCTTCTGGTTTGGTCACTCGGCATCCAGGATCATAGATTCACATGAGAGCGGCGATGGCTGGAAGTATGTCTGTGAAGTATAAAAAATGCATAGGGCCCAATGGGCAGGCATTACCAGGGTTCGAACCTGGGTTTCGGGAAGTTATTCATCACTGAGTAGCGATGTCAAAATCCCGAGTGATAGACCACTACACTATAATGCCACGGCCAAAATATTAATTCTGTCGGTAGTAGCGGTGGCAAGCATGGGGGAGAAACCCTGACCTTAACCCCAGGACGGAACTTGGCTGACGCGAGTTGGCCGGGGGAGGTCGTCAGCTGCGGCGAGCAACTCCCATCTTCACCAGAGTCTCTCCGGCCGCCCTGCTTAGTCTGTTTCGGTCTCATGGTGACTAACAAGGCGTCCTTGGACCGCACAAGACCGTTATTTAAATTCTAGTTCCGCGGCCGGACAATCGCTGCCTGGAGCTCCCCTCTCATGTTCCGCTCCTTTCACCTACTTCGCGCTGGCCGTCTACGGGAACTTACATCATCATCACAACATGTCATGCTGAAGACGCGCATACTTCTGCTGCGGAGACGGCTTTCTGGTACCTCGCCCTCGCTCGACTCGCTATCGTCGCTCGGCCCAAAATCTCAACCTCCTCGTCCCACTTCGGGTCGCCTGCACAAATATGCTCGACGGACACTGCTCACTGCTATATTTGCGGGAGGAGTGTGGATAGTAGACAGAAAATATAATGGCTCAGCGATTGCGAGAAATTTGCGCACGTTTTGGACGGTACGTCGTTTGCTTCTTACAGCCACTCCTTATTTGGCTCCAATTCTGTTACCTCGTTACTCTGGCTCTGGCTGGTGCCGGGTACATCGAAGCGAAGCCATAATTTATACCTCCCGTTTCGTTCCGACTTGAATATGGCCAAGCGGGTGCGTACGGCGAATGTGGGATGAGGAACGACATTTGATCTTTCGGTCAATTGTGCGATGTAACCGGCAGAGTCGTTGTCTAATGAATGGACCACAGCGCAAGTCACGTCGTGAGGCACGATGTTGCCTTGTCCAACGCGTTCATAGCTGGCGGTCGCGTGACTAACCATGATGCACTGGACGCCTGCTCATACCTTCAATACTATCTAAAGGTATGAGCAGGTACATTGAATTCTACGCTGTGCCGTATATTCAGCGATCTTGCATTACATCGTTCAAGTCAACCGGTGTATGGGGCTTGGAACGCCGAGCCTTGCTGATTGCCGAGTCAGGCGGAATACGACGATTACATATATGCATTGAAACCCTGGCTAACCTGAGCATCAGTGCGCGATAATAGCTCTAGACTACAAGCTGTACTTCAAGCCCGAGATGAGCGAGGGTATACCCGCATTACATGAGCGTGTCGCGGAACGCATCTACGACCTCTTCACTTCCAACGGTGGGCTCTACATCAAGATAGGCACGTTCTCCCTTCATTCTCTTACTACCTACCTTCCAATCTCACTTGGTACTCTGTAGGCCAGGCCTTTGCGAACAATGCTGCGCTCATGCCGAAGCCCATGCAAGAGCGTTTCGGCCGACTCTTCGATGACGCGCCGCAGGTGCCTTATCACGTCGTCGAGGGCGTGTTCAAACGTGAGTTTGGGCGGCCGCCAACGGGGCCGGATAGTGTGTTCGAAATCTTCGAGGAGCGGGCGGCGGCGAGCGCGAGCATCGCGCAGGTGCACCGCGCGAAGCTAAAAAAGGAGCACGGCGGCGGATGGGTTGCGGTGAAAATCCAGAAGCCGGACGTGGGTAAGCAAGTGGAATGGGATTTGGGCGCGTTCAAGGTCGTGATGTGGATCTATGAAAAGTATCTATTTGATTTGCCGGTGCTGTTCGTCGTCGGTATGTGCGTCGCTTGTTTGATGTGGACCGACCCCTTAGCGCCCCCTTTCCCGCAGATTTTATCTCGGACCACTTGAGGCGCGAGCTCGACTTTGAGCTGGAGGCGAACAACGCCATCAGGACCTCCATGTTCGTTGCAGCCGAACCACGGCTCTCCGACAGGGTTTACATCCCGCGTGTCTATCCTGAGCTGTCTACCAAGAAGGTGATGGTCGCTGAATGGATAGACGGCGTCCGACTGAGCGACCGTCGCGCAATCATGCAACTCATGGGCGAGGAGCAGTCTGCAGAGCCACAGCCCGACGTCAGCCCAGCTCTTCCCCGGCGGCCACTCAAGGGCGGGATCAGGTGGGTGATGGAGACGATGGTCGACCTCTTCAGCGCGCAAATGTTCGAGTGGGGCTGGGTGCACTGCGACCCGCACCCGGGCAACATCATCATCCGCCCGCACCCCGCGCATCCCGGGCTACCTCAGTTCGTGCTGCTCGACCACGGGCTGTACGTGTCTGTCTCGAAGACGTTCCAGAGACAGTACGCGACGCTGTGGAAGGGCCTGCTCACGGCGGACCTCGGCGTCGTGAAGAGCATCGCGGACGAGTGGGGCATTGGCACACCGGACTTGTTTGCGAGCGCGACGCTGATGCGGCCGGTCAGATTTGGCCAGCCAGCGGAGGGCGCGCCAGACTTTGAGAAGATGAGCCAGTATGAGAGGAGCCTTTTTATGAAGGAGAAGCTGAAGAACTTCTTGACGGACACGGATAGGATGCCGAAGGAGCTGGTCTTCATTGCGCGGAATATGCGGTAAGTGGGAAAGGATTTGCTGGGGGGAGGCATTGCTGATCATTCCCGCAGTATCGTCCAAGGTAACAACCAATCCTTGGGTTCGCCAGTCAATCGCATACGCATCATAGGCTACTGGGCATCAAGATCGCTCGCGGTCACACCAGGCCTGTCTTGGACAGAGCGGCTCCGAGGGTACTGGCGGTTCCTGATCTTCCAGACGGTGATGTTCTCGATAGACGTCGCGTTCCGGTACACTAAGCTAAAGCAGTGGGTGAAATTAAGATTGGGCCAGAGGGGAGAGGGGTTCGAGGATCAGCTGGAGCGGACGATGCGGGAGTTCGCGAAGAGCAACTTGGGTGTGGAGATCGCAGAGGGAGCGTTCGAGGGGTGAAAATGTGCCACGTATGGTGCAGATTATGGGCGCGAGCTAGACCCGTACGCTGTAGCGTTTGCTTGAGCAAAGTGTTGGTGTTGGACCATCGGTTGTAGACATGTCGCTATATGAGCACCTCCGCGCTAATGCGGGCGCACCGGACCGGCGTCGTCCGGTGGCTGGAACGTCTCGCGGCTGCACAGGCTCTTCGGTAGGTAACGTCTCGTCCGCACCATGTAAGAACAGCAAGTGCTGGGACTGATGGACGTTTTTGGGCTTCGGGCGAGTGTTCATGAGACACATACATGCCGCGACCGACAGGTGGGCCCGGTAAGTCGGCTGCTCTCATGTGGGACCAGATTAGGCATGCTTCAATGGACGAACATTTTGATTCCGTCCTCGGTCCAGCTTCCAAATTCTATGGCTACCATATGTGGCTAGCCGATAACAACTGTTGAGTATTGTCTGTAAAATCCCGCCTCCTCTTTTTTTATTCCTATCGTCCTCTGACCGCCATGATGCATGCGAAGCACGAGCGCCACTCGACTCTCTACATGAGCAGCGGCGATGTTGTCCTAAGTGCGCCGTCTCAGCGCACTTTGGACAACGGAACGATGGAAGTCATCAAAGTACTCTTCCGAGTCCATCGAAACATTCTCTGCCAGCATTCACCAGTTTTCGCTGGCATGTTTGAGATCCCTACTCCGCAAGATCCCTCACCAGATGACGCCTACGACAGCGCACCTCTTGTCTCACTCTCGGATGACGCGGAGGACCTAGCCACGTTTCTCCAGGCTCTATATCAACCGTTGTGAGCCCTCCTTTCCTTCTCCTTTCAAGATTTTGACCAAGATGTACCGTTCGCGATTAAAAGCGTAGAGTTGAAAGAGCCTTACAGGGTCAATATCCCTCGCAACTGGGAGCAGCTCCTTAGAATGGCGGAGAAGTTCCAGGCCGACGAGCTTCGGTTCGCAGTTTTAGACCGCTTCAAACAAGCCTGGCCGCTTTCATGGAAGGAATGGGAGCGCTGGGAGGCCAGAATCGATGCCGTTGACCGTCAATATCGTGCTAGTAGGCATATGGGCAACAAGCGGATACTTTCCGTCAGCGATTGCGTCCCCGAACCGGTCAATGCCATACGCTTCGCAAGGGAAAACCAGTGCCCAGAGGTTCTTCCTGCTGTGTTCTATCACATTGCGCGTACATTCAGCAGTCCACACCACGTGTCTTGGAGGGGCTTCAACGTACAGTGGGATCTATTAGACAAGGCCGATACAATGCGCGTCCTCAACGGCCGGGAAAGCGTGACTGCAGAGATCGCAAAACTTCGTCATCGAGTCTTGTACATCCCGGTCCCGGATCCGCCGTTCCCCCCCGGCGGCGGCGATGACGACGACGACGACGCCCCACGAGTGTGCAAAAAGCAGGCGTGTGGTAGAGTCAAGCACGCTCTGGACATGAAGCTCTCCCAGCTGAACGTGTGTGATGTCTTGGGCGCATTGGCTATGTGGGAGCAGGATGTCGCTTACCCGCAGCGCACAGCCTCGGGCGGTTATGACGAGGTGTGCAGGGTCTGCAAGCATGAGCTGAGCGTTCGCGTGTGGCGAGAGAAACCACAGATGTGGTTACGCTTCCCGGCGTGGTTCAATCTGTGGGTGCGGGGGCGTGGGAAGAAGAGGCTGACGGTTGCCTGCAGGCTGGAGCGAGGCAGCAGCCACCGAGCGTGCACCCGTCTGCGACCATCGCAAGCAGCCCGCACCCAGCCCGCACGCAGGGTGCTGCCACATGCATCTACGCCTCCCCTGACTTGCCTTATCTACCGCTTTCCCCGACCCCGAATTCGCACTTTCACCGATACCCGTTCACCAGCGCACTACCCATGAAGCGTTCAGGTTCGACCCGGGCCTCGTCCCCGACCAATACCACCTACTCTAGCATATCCAACTATCGCACAGACTCCTTTCGCCCCCTCCGAGACACGCCACCGACATCCTACTCCCCCACTGATCCGCGCACCATCGCTCGCACCCACTTTGACGAGCTCAGCAGATACCTCGCATCATACCTCGCCAAAGGTGTGTTCTCTCCCCCTCTTACTCTCCGGCTGCCTGAACGGCCTCTCCAGAGCCCGCCAACTCGCGCTCGACCGCGCGCCAGAAGCTCACACGG